GACCATAAACTATAAACCCCATGAGACACTTGAGGCTGTCGGATTCAGGATTTACTTAACTTTTCTGTGTAGACCGTAGCCAAGATCCGCAAAAGCAATAGCATAGCGGACGGAAGTGATGTTCTGGTTTGGTTGCGGATTCTGCTTCAAGAAGCTATCCAGCCATCATAGCCTTTCCAAAACCAACGAGGATCGGCGAAGCATGGGCCTTAGACCCTGGGTCCAAAGCAGCTGATTTCAGCAAAGGATCTGCCGCAGCTGCACGCGGGCACCCGCCTCATCCATGACGTCGATGGCCTTGGTGAATTCTAGCAGAGTTGGGTCTGTTGGCTTGCATCTGTATATACGATCGAAGTTCCGAGGTCGCTGAAAAAACCCTCCCATGTCCCCCGCCCTCCCCCGCACTGGCGGCATGGCTGCAAAACCATCGATGGTCAGTCGCTGCCGCACCCAAACCCCAAACCACACGACACTACTGGGGAGGAGGTGCACCGATCATGTTGATAATACCAAAAACCCATGCAGACCCACAAGACCCAAACACCCAACCACACCACGGGCAGAAAGTCCACCAACCATTGGGGGGCGAGAGAGGCGTGCCCGCCGAAACGGGATCATATACACATTGACAAGAAGGATGTGCCACTCTTGATCATCTTTGAGGGAGGTAAAAGTAAGAAGACACTAAGCCACACAAGCAGAAACCAGCTGAAGCGTCGACGACGTAACCAGCATCAACAACATCAAGGACAAACAGGGCGAAGGCGATTACCTTGCGACAGCAAGCCGGACATCTACGAGAACGGCATTAGCCATGATGTCGGCGACTTTCGATAGGACAACAATTGCGACTGCGCTTCCAACCAGAGGAACAGAAACGCGTCTGTTACGCTACTTTGGTTGAGCTACTGCTACAGCTGCTGCTACTGTAACTGCTGCTGCTACTGCTGCTTCTGCTTCTGCTACGCTACCATGACAGAGGCACGAAGCACCACAACTAGCACTAATACATCCCTGTTGGATATAGGGTAGTCATTGTGTCCGAAACGCTATAGCAGTGTAGCAGCGGTAAAACTGCATCGAGCCGTCGTCATGGTCATGATCACCACCCTCACGTTCGGTATCGTCATCTTCCACATCATCACGGTCATCATGAACGGAAATCGTAACAGGCATCATCTTCGTCGTCTTCATCGTCCTTGTCATCGCGGCACACGAACGAGATGCTGCGAGACCCCCTGCTCTCCAGAATGCTTTCACACAGAGAGACCAACAGAATAGGAACGCCTCGACAGGCTCAGTCTGTGGCCTTGTCTGGCAGGTACCGGTCCTGCAAGGGTGCATGTTGCTGTTGCTGTTGCTGTTATTCTTGCTGTTGCAGTTGGTGGGGGAGGAGGAGGGGAGGGGGAGGGGAGGGGGAGGAGGAGGAGGAGGAGGAGGGGGAGGAGGAGGGGGAGGGAGGAGGGGGAGAGGGGGAGGGGGACGGAGGGGGAGGGGCAGGGGGAGGGAAGGGGGAGGAGGGGGAGGGGAGGGGGGGGGAGGGGGAGGAGGCGGGAGCAAACGGTGAAACGGCAGCGCCAACCACCCACATGTTCTTAAGGACAGTTCAAGATGAGCAGTAGTTTGACCCAACCTCCAAACAAGGTCTGTGACCCTGGAGCCTGGCGCCGGAAGACTTTCGATTGCTCATGTATGTCGTTTCGCTGTTCCGATTATCGGGCTCGGAGTCAGGACAACTGTCCCAAACAATTAAGAAACCTCCCATACATCAACAACAGCACTGTTATGAGTGCTTTCTTGGTATGGTGCTGACAGTGACCATCGCCACAAGCCAGTAACATCACCAGTTGGACGAAGTCGACGATGACGACAACGACAGCGGCAGACAGCGGCAGCAGCAAGCAGCGGTGACGACGGCAACGACGTTGTTCTGATCATCACTATTGCTACTGCAATCCGAAGCATCGAACACCTCTCACCCAGAGCCAAGGACGGCTTCACATCCCTGGACACGTAGAACCCAGAATCTCCCGCCTGGAAAGGGCAGGTATGTGTGTCATCACCCGTCATCATCCTAAAACAACTGCATAACGGCAGTAGTCCCAAGCCCTCGTAGTAGCCGTTTCCTGGATGTACTGCGAGGCCAGCTTCACACAGGACTCCAACGCTTCCTCCGAGTACCTGCATGCTTGAAACTACAAACTGCAGAACTGAATTCGTAACTCCCTATCATGAAGCTTTGAGTGCATGGATGGGATAAGGTTTGAGGGTCGGGATTGGTAGAATCCAGAAGTGTGGGATCTAGGGGCTTATAAAGCGCTCGGAATCCTGAGTTCGTTGCTGCATGGTCTCTGGTGAAAAGATACAACAACAGTCGGCACAGACAACGAGAGTGTTTGGCCGTTGGGTTGCGCAGTACATCAGGAAACAATCGCGCACAGACAAACACACACACACACACACACACACCAGAAATCACCGGAAACCTCGAAACACCTACTTAGCTTAGGCCAAGGCATCATACCATGTGAAGTTCCCAGTCCCAAGACTTCCAGCATCGCCCCACGAACTGCAGCAGCCGATGTGAGTTCTAATCCCTGTGCGCGCCAGGCAGACGAGATTCCAGCTGAAGCGCTACTCCTTAATCCGAAAGTCTTGCAGGTATGACGCCATATCGTTTCTCCCATAACACCCAGGCCTCAGTCGGTGGTGGGCCTCGTACTTCCGCGCCAAACCCTTGAGGATGGTCACCTGTCGAGGCTTTAGGGTTGCCGAGTCGTCAACGTTGGGTTGTTCTGTTGGCATTACTCGTCACAGTGGCTCTTTGGCATACATCAAAGTTACCTGCAGAACTCAAGTATGCAGAGGTGGACTGGAAATCGAAATCTGTGTTCATGACGCCCTTTCTAGGACTACTAATAAATTCGAGAACCCCAACCGATTGTCCAGGACTTGCGAATACACTAATTGGAGATATGCGGCAGCCCACGAGCAACGTCTAGAGCAAAGCACTGTAGTCCGAAGACAGACAACTCGTCAACATGTCCACAATCAAATTCGGCTGTGCGACGGTCTCCTCGACCGTTGGTTCAGGTACCTCGGTGCACCAACAAGGGCTGTTTAAATTCCGCATCAGCCTGCACATCACGGTCATCATCATCATCATCATCCTCATCATCATCCTCCTCAGCAACAACATCCTCGACAACAACACAAGCCACATAATTAATCATCGGCCTCCTCCAGATCTTAATCCCAAAGATCATCTCATCATCATGATTATCGTCATGACACGGTCATCAGTTGAACCGCAGCAAAACCACAAGTTGCAGCAAAGTTGAGGGCGCGACGCACCAGACAAAAATGCGTTTTGCCGCACCAGACAAAAATGCGTTTTGCTTTGACAGCCAGGCTCGTCGAGCCGACATCACCCTCGTGAGGTGATGCTGCAGCCAAGGTTTCTTGGAGCCAAAACTCTTCAGGTGGTCGCGTGCTGCGTTCCACCGAACCTAGGTGCTAAGCTGTACACTGTACACTGCACTCCATTGCGCCCACCCTAGCGCGCAATGGAGACTGACTACTCCGCAACCGGCAGGGTCACGCGGCGGTATCCTAGGCGCACTTTGCGCAGGATGTCGTGGCCCTCGATCTCGCTCTTCCGACCCACCTGCACATGACTAGGTTGGAAGGCCAAGGGCTACGATGTGAGGACTGGAGTTCATGTAAGCCTTCCCCTACAGAAATGTTCAATTCGCCCTGCACACTCGACGGACCAACTACTCTTCTCACTCAGACCCGACACTTAATGGCACCTATGCTAGACCCCACCCTCAGCTGCCTTCTGGAGCTGAAGTGCATCCAGGCTCTTCCCCTGATCCACCGACTGCTCGAGAGCGGCAATCTCCCGAAGCTTTTTCTCCAGCTTGCGGGCCTTCGTCATATAGCTTCTAGCAGATTCTAGCATAATCGTCTTTACTCTTGGCTCTGTTGCTGCTATACATGCTTATTCACGTGGATTTGATTTTCCTCAACCTTACTGGTATCCTGTTCGGGACACACTTCTAATTCTAATTAGTAGCCCTTGACCGGTCGCCTCCCGCTCCTCCTCCGTGCCTAGCACCCAGTGCTCTGGCTGCCACTCGCCCGAGGCGCCCTTGGCTTTGCTCTTGACACCACGGGGCTTGCGCCAAGCCCCAGATGTCCAAGAATCACCCGAAGCTGTGGTGCTCGTTCCGGACTCGCTCCGCACGTCACTAGTCTGATTCTTGACCGCCTTCTGCTGGGTGGCCTTCTCCAAAGCCCGGCGCTGCAGTTTGGGGCAGGCCTTTGCGGAATGCCCCACCACCTTGCAGTACTCGCAGGTGCGGTAGAACCTTGGTTGCGCAATCCAGCGAAGGACACAGGAAAAGTACCGATACTGTGCCTATCGCACAAAATACAGAACACACAATAGCTATACTCAATGGAAGATCAAGGTGCGACATCTTTGGGCATTGGGCCGCACGGTGGCCCTGTCCGTTGCATCGGGAACAGATCTGGCTGTCGGTGGCTGCCATGGCTTTTACTTCGGATGTAACAGGTGCTAGGCCACTAGGCGAGTCGGAGAGGAGCTAGTTCTGGCTGGACATGCCTGCGATGATACGGCTTCGTTCATCCAAGGCATTCCGGCAAACAAGCACAAGACACGCTTGCAGAAATAAGCGTCATATGATGTCATATTAGGTCACCAGAAGCAATGACCTTGTGAATCATCTCACGGGGAACCGTACCTTCCTTTACAGAAAGTTGAGGGCGAAACGCACCAGACGAAAATGCGTTTTGCTTTGACAGCCAGGCTCGTCGAGCCGACATCACCCTCGTGAGGTGATGCTGCAGCCAAGGTTTCTTGGAGCCAAAACTCTTCAGGTGGTCGCGTGCTGCGTTCCACCGAACCAAGGTGGTGAGCTGTACACTGTACACTGCACTCCATTGCGCCCACCCTAGCGCGCAATGGAGACTGACTACTCCGCAACCGGCAGGGTCACGCGGCGGTATCCTAGGCGCACTTTGCGCAGGATGTCGTGGCCCTCGATCTCGCTCTTCCGACCCACCTGCACATGACTAGGTTGGAAGGCCAAGGGCTACGATGTGAGGACTGGAGTTCATGTAAGCCTTCCCCTACAAAAATGTTCAATTCGCCCTGCACACTCGACGGACCAACTACTCTTCTCACTCAGACCCGACACTTAATGGCACCTATGCTAGACCCCACCCTCAGCTGCCTTCTGGAGCTGAAGTGCATCCAGGCTCTTCCCTTGATCCACCGACTGCTCGAGAGCGGCAATCTCCCGAAGCTTTTTCTCCAGCTTGCGGGCCTTCGTCATATAGCTTCTAGCAGATTCTAGCATAATCGTCTTTACTCTTGGCTCTGTTGCTGCTATACATGCTTATTCACGTGGATTTGATTTTCCTCAACCTTACTGGTATCCTGTTCGGGACACACTTCTAATTCTAATTAGTAGCCCTTGACCGGTCGCCTCCCGCTCCTCCTCCGTGCTTAGCACCCAGTGCTCTGGCTGCCACTCGCCCGAGGCGCCCTTGGCTTTGCTCTTGACACCGCGGGGCTTGCGCCAAGCCCCAGATGTCCAAGAATCACCCGAAGCTGTGGTGCTCGTTCCGGACTCGCTCCGCGCGTCGCTAGTCTGATTCTTGACCGCCTTCTGCTGGGTGGCCTTCTCCAAAGCCCGGCGCTGCAGTTTGGGGCAGGCCTTTGCGGAATGCCCAACCACCTTGCAGTACTCGCAGGTGCGGTAGAACCTTGGTTGCGCAATCCAGCGAAGGACACAGGAAAAGTACCGATACTGTGCCTATCGCACAAAATACAGAACACACAATAGTTATACTCAATGGAAGATCAGGGTGCGACATCTTTGGACATTGGGCCGCACGGTGGCCCTGTCCGTTGCATCGGGAACAGATCTGGCTGTCGGTGGCTGCCATGGCTTTTACTTCGGATGTAACAGGTGCTAGGCCACTAGGCGAGTCGGAGAGGAGCAAGTTCTGGCTGGACATGCCTGCGATGATACGGCTTCGTTCATCTAAGGCATTCCGGCAAACAAGCACAAGACACGCTTGCAGAAATAAGCGTCATATGATGTCATATTAGGTCACCAGAAGCAATGACCTTGTGAATCATCTTACGGGGAACCGTACCTTCCTTTACAGAAAGTTGAGGGCGCAACGCACCAGACGACAATGCGTTTTGCTTTGACAGCCAGGCTCGTCGAGCCGACATCACCTTCGTGAGGTGATGCTGCAGCCAAGGTTTCTTGGAGCCAAAACTCTTCAGGTGGTCGCGTGCTGCGTTCCACCGAACCAAGGTGGTGAGCTGTACACTGTACACTGCACTCCATTGCGCCCACCCTAGCGCGCAATGGAGACTGACTACTCCGCAACCGGCAGGGTCACGCGGCGGTATCCTAGGCGCACTTTGCGCAGGATGTCGTGGCCCTCGATCTCGCTCTTCCGACCCACCTGCACATGACTAGGTTGGAAGGCCAAGGGCTACGATGTGAGGACTGGAGTTCATGTAAGCCTTCCCCTACAAAAATGTTCAATTCGCCCTGCACACTCGACGGACCAACTACTCTTCTCACTCAGACCCGACACTTAATGGCACCTATGCTAGACCCCACCCTCAGCTGCCTTCTGGAGCTGAAGTGCATCCAGGCTCTTCCCTTGATCCACCGACTGCTCGAGAGCGGCAATCTCCCGAAGCTTTTTCTCCAGCTTGCGGGCCTTCGTCATATAGCTTCTAGCAGAATCGTCTTTACTCTTGGCTCTGTTGCTGCTATACATGCTTATTCACGTGGATCTGATTTTCCTCAACCTTACTGGTATCCTGTTCGGGACACACTTCTAATTCTAATTAGTAGCCCTTGACCGGTCGCCTCCCGCTCCTCCTCCGTGCTTAGCACCCAGTGCTCTGGCTGCCACTCGCCCGAGGCGCCCTTGGCTTTGCTCTTGACACCGCGGGGCTTGCGCCAAGCCCCAGATGTCCAAGAATCACCCGAAGCTGTGGTGCTCGTTCCGGACTCGCTCCGCGCGTCGCTAGTCTGATTCTTGACCACCTTCTGCTGGGTGGCCTTCTCCAAAGCCCGGCGCTGCAGTTTGGGGCAGGCCTTTGCGGAATGCCCAACCACCTTGCAGTACTCGCAAGTACGGTAGAACCTTGGTTGCGCCATCGAGCGAAGGACACAGGAAAAGTACCGATACTGTGCCTATCGCACAAAGTACAGAACACCAATAGTTATACTCAATAGAAGATCAGGGTGCGACATCTTTGGGCATTGGGCCGCACGGTGGCCCTGTCCGTTGCATCGGGAACAGATCTGGCTGTCGGTGGCTGCCATGGCTTTTACTTCGAACGTAACAGGTGCTAGGCCGCTAGGCGAGTCGGCGAGGAGCTAGTTCTGGCTGGACATGCCTGCGATGTACAGCTTCGCTCATCCAAAGAATTCCGGCAAAAAAGCACAAGACACGCTTGCAGAAAAAACAGTCATATGATGTCATATGGTCATCAGAGGCAATGGCCGGGGAACCGTACCTTCCTCTACAGAAAGTTGAGGGCGCAACGCACCAGACGAAAATGCGTTTTGCTTTGACAGCCAGGCTCGTCGAGCCGACATCACCTTCGTGAGGTGATGCTGCAGCCAAGGTTTCTTGGAGCCAAAACTCTTCAGGTGGTCGCGTGCTGCGTTCCACCGAACCTAGGTGCTAAGCTGTACACTGTACACTGCACTCCATTGCGCCCACCCTAGCGCGCAATGGAGACTGACTACTCCGCAACCGGCAGGGTCACGCGGCGGTATCCTAGGCGCACTTTGCGCAGGATGTCGTGGCCCTCGATCTCGCTCTTCCGACCCACCTGCACATGACTAGGTTGGAAGGCCAAGGGCTACGATGTGAGGACTGGAGTTCATGTAAGCCTTCCCCTACAAAAATGTTCAATTCGCCCTGCACACTCGACGGACCAACTACTCTTCTCACTCAGACCCGACACTTAATGGCACCTATGCTAGACCCCACCCTCAGCTGCCTTCTGGAGCTGAAGTGCATCCAGGCTCTTCCCCTGATCCACCGACTGCTCGAGAGCGGCAATCTCCCGAAGCTTTTTCTCCAGCTTGCGGGCCTTCGTCGTTTAGCTTCTAGCATAATCGTCTTTACTCTTGGCTCTGTTGCTGCTATACATGCTTATTCACGTGGATTTGATTTTCCTCAACCTTACTGGTATCCTGTTCGGGACACACTTCTGATTCTAATTAGTAGCCCTTGACCGGTCGCCTCCCGCTCCTCCTCCGTGCTTAGCAACCAGTGCTCTGGCTGCCACTCGCCCGAGGCGCCCTTGGCTTTGCTCTTGACACCGCGGGGCTTGCGCCAAGCCCCAGATGTCCAAGAATCACCCGAAGCTGTGGTGCTCGTTCCGGACTCGCTCCGCGCGTCGCTAGTCTGATTCTTGACCACCTTCTGCTGGGTGGCCTTCTCCAAAGCCCGGCGCTGCAGTTTGGGGCAGGCCTTTGCGGAATGCCCAACCACCTTGCAGTACTCGCAAGTACGGTAGAACCTTGGTTGCGCCATCGAGCGAAGGACACAGGAAAAGTACCGATACTGTGCCTATCGCACAAAGTACAGAACACCAATAGTTATACTCAATGGAAGATCAGGGTGCGACATCTTTGGGCATTGGGCCGCACGGTGGCCCTGTCCGTTGCATCGGGAACAGATCTGGCTGTGGGTGGCTGCCATGGCTTTTACTTCGAACGTAACAGGTGCTAGGCCGCTAGGCGAGTCGGCGAGGAGCTAGTTCTGGCTGGACATGCCTGCGATGTACAGCTTCGCTCATCCAAAGAATTCCGGCAAAAAAGCACAAGACACGCTTGCAGAAAAAACAGTCATATGATGTCATATGGTCATCAGAGGCAATGGCCGGGGAACCGTACCTTCCTCTACAGAAAGTTGAGGGCGCAACGCACCAGACGAAAATGCGTTTTGCTTTGACAGCCAGGCTCGTCGAGCCGACATCACCTTCGTGAGGTGATGCTGCAGCCAAGGTTTCTTGGAGCCAAAACTCTTCAGGTGGTCGCGTGCTGCGTTCCACCGAACCAAGGTGGTGAGCTGTACACTGTACACTGCACTCCATTGCGCCCACCCTAGCGCGCAATGGAGACTGACTACTCCGCAACCGGCAGGGTCACGCGGCGGTATCCTAGGCGCACTTTGCGCAGGATGTCGTGGCCCTCGATCTCGCTCTTCCGACCCACCTGCACATGACTAGGTTGGAAGGCCAAGCGCTACGATGTGAGGACTGGAGTTCATGTAAGCCTTCCCCTACAAAAATGTTCAATTCGCCCTGCACACTCGACGGACCAACTACTCTTCTCACTCAGACCCGACACTTAATGGCACCTATGCTAGACCCCACCCTCAGCTGCCTTCTGGAGCTGAAGTGCATCCAGGCTCTTCCCTTGATCCACCGACTGCTCGAGAGCGGCAATCTCCCGAAGCTTTTTCTCCAGCTTGCGGGCCTTCGTCATATAGCTTCTAGCAGATTCTAGCATAATCGTCTTTACTCTTGGCTCTGTTGCTGCTATACATGCTTATTCACGTGGATTTGATTTTCCTCAACCTTACTGGTATCCTGTTCGGGACACACTTCTAATTAGCCCTTGACCGGTCGCCTCCCGCTCCTCCTCCGTGCCTAGAACCCAGTGCTCTGGCTGCCACTCGCCCGAGGCGCCCTTGGCTTTGCTCTTGACACCGCGGGGCTTGCGCCAAGCCCCAGATGTCCAAGAATCACCCGAAGCTGTGGTGCTCGTTCCGGACTCGCTCCGCGCGTCGCTAGTCTGATTCTTGACCACCTTCTGCTGGGTGGCCTTCTCCAAAGCCCGGCGCTGCAGTTTGGGGCAGGCCTTTGCGGAATGCCCAACCACCTTGCAGTACTCGCAAGTACGGTAGAACCTTGGTTGCGCCATCGAGCGAAGGACACAGGAAAAGTACCGATACTGTGCCTATCGCACAAAGTACAGAACACCAATAGTTATACTCGATGGAAGATCAGGGTGCGACATCTTTGGGCATTCGGCCGCACGGTGGCCCTGTCCGTTGCATCGGGAACAGATCTGGCTGTCGGTGGCTGCCATGGCTTTTACTTCGAACGTAACAGGTGCTAGGCCGCTAGGCGAGTCGGCGAGGAGCTAGTTCTGGCTGGACATGCCTGCGATGATGCCAGCTTCCGAAACAAGGTGCAAAACGCGACAGATTCATGGCTGTTGACCGCCGTCTCTCCGGGCCCGCATCTGCGAAGCTCGAACCCTACCGAAAAGGAGCTTCAAGCCTTTTAGCCCGATGCTAACCCCATGGCATGGTTGTGTGTCGAGCTTCTGACCTTCACCGGCTGGAAGCGTCGCTCCAGGGCCTCACATAGAACTACTCGTGTGCGTCTACGCTCATTATCAAAGATTTTTCCATGATACCGCTATAAGTTTACATTATCCTTAGTGATACTTGCCCTTTGTTCTGTGCTCCATTATGTTGAAATGCTCACTCTGGTAGCGCTGTGATCTTTTTGAACTGCATGAGCCCACGCTTCACACCTTATGGCTCTGTGCGTTGTGTCGCTCTGATTCTCCCTTCTTGCTGCCATCATGGTGTTGGTAGTGCTGTACCTTTCAACTGGCATGATTATTGGCATATCTAGTATGATTGTTCTTGAGGCTTGTATGTTGTCAGCAGCATTGCAACTGCTGTCGATGTGATAGTTTTGCTGTTGTTATGCTGAGGACAACGACGACGGGTAAGGGTGACATACATCTGTAGAAGTACTAGTCATAATAAGGTATTGGCCCTCGTTGTGCTACAGTCGAAAGCCCTAAGCTGTAGTCCCACTTAGCTCAGCGCCCCCACCTGCTCACAGGCGAACAACTCCCAAACTTGAAAGCCGCACCCTGCAAGTTCGCAGGCCTTGTCCTTCTCTACGTACTTCCGGTACTCCTCGTTGGTGGTTGCGCCAATCACCTGTAAGACTGCAGTTCGACATGTGCCACGCCATGGCCATTGTTGTTTACTCGATCATGCAGTTCAGGGGTTCGTATATTAAAGATGATGTCTCTTCGTCTTCGACGGGGCACGAATGCGCTGGTGCGGGTATCTTGCGCATGCTGCATACCTGCAGTTCCACCCGGCTGCATCCTCTCATCCCCCGTCAACGAGACATCGGGCTCAGCGTCTGTAGTTTGTCTTTTCGCTGTCGCACGCATGAGAGCGACAGAACACCTCATTGTTGTATTGCCTGTGCAAGAACTGCCTCTACACCATACTATGTCTCTAGAAAAATCCGACAAGATCCTGCCTACGTTTTTTGAAAAGCATCTTTGCACTTCCAGGCATCCGGTGGAATAAAATGTTTCACAAACAGTAACTAACCCTCGTCCAACCAATCCCTGAGCGTCTCCATTCTCTGGACCCCAAGGCATCGGACCCCGTCTACCCACCTGGAGCTCACCACGGGACAAGGCAGGCTTCATGATGTTCGCTGCGTCGATGGCACCACCGCCACCTTGAAAGCTGGGGAAGCCAGCTCTCAAATGAAGGGCGTGCATTTAGTTTAGGCTTATGTGTATAGGCTCTGTTCCAACTGCAAGAAGTCTCCGCCAGCCGCCTTTGGGTTTGAGTATCTACACCCGCAAGCTGAACCTTAAACCCATCCCAAACTTGAACCGCCGACCGTGATGTTGAATACTACGTTTAGTTTAGTGCATCCACGAAAATTTTCCTGAATCAACGAATGCTTCAGGAACTTCTGCCCTCGCCCCCATTACTTCGCTAGTTTCTCAACAAGCTTCGAGCCTAAGTCTGCGTTGCACCAAATCCAAAACCTTCTTCTTAAGCGCTTGTGTTAGGATCCATGGTTTGGGGCCTAGGCTTCCCTCACCTCCTGTCTACAAGGTTCGCGAGAGATCCTAAGCACTGCTGCCAGAAGGATCGCAACCCGGAAGCTCGACGCAGCACACACATGACACACGTCCGTGGCCTCCATCGCCGGTCCCACCCGCACCGACCAATGTGTGGATCTCGTCGATCATGAGGATGATGCTCTTCTCAGAGTCCAAGACCTTCAGGCACTCAGGGTGCCGAAACGGGGGAGAGCCCTCCTCAAGGGCCGTGGTCGCATTTCCTTCGGGGGTTGATGCTGGGGAGTTGGGGAGTTTTGAAAGTGAAGTGGCTTCCTGGGCCGCTACGGCATACAAGCTGTAAAGCAACACTCTCGAAGTTGGCCTCCTTGATCACGTTCTTCAAACGCTCCTGATGCAATCAAATGCTGAAGGGCCGCCGGCTGCTGGTATGCTTTGCAACTGACCATACCACAAGCAATACTTCAGCCGGTACTACCCAGGATATCGGATATCGTGAACTTTAAAGTCTGCGCCCAACGGTGGCTTGATAGCAGTGCTCCTACTTTGTTTTTCAGGTCTCTACTTTAGGCCCAAGAAATGTCTTGACCGGCCGAAACCGAAACCCTCCTCTGGACGAGTGCTCCTCGCACGCTGCCATAACTTTACGGAGAGAAGAAAGTTGCGGCTTCAAGTGATCGGATCTTGCAGCGCCGAACCCTGCTTGACACAATGCGTTGAGTCTTCACGGACGGAAAATACTCTGCAAGCCGGCACCAAGTATTGGGGTACGGGCGCACCAGGTGCCACGTTGCAGTCGTACTTAGAAGGTGCGCAAAACTGTGGTGTTAGCACGATTTATGCCAAAAAACAGGCTTGTAGCACATCAGGGAAACTATTGTAGTTTTACGACCAGCAATATCATCGGCAGCATCATCTGCCTCATCATCGTCTTTATCATCAACATCAGCATCATCATATTCTCACAGGTTTCTCACAGCTTCATCAGAGACTTGTAACAGCTTTTCTCACAGACACTGGGGAGCCGGATTTCTTGTCTCACAGGTTTCTCAGAAGTTTCTCACTCTGATTTTCTCAGGTTTCTTACACCTTTCTGACAGGTTTCTCTCACGGCCTCATCAGAGACTTGTAACAGCTTTTCTCACAGACACTGGAAAGCCGGATTTCATGTCTGACAGAGTTCTCACAGAACCCGCTTGCAGCCTTCCCACAGGTTTGTCGCAGAAAACAAGACCTTGATGCTTCCCATGCCATCAGCGCACTCGAGAGGACATGCGACGGCCGGACGCCATTAAGCGCCCCCAGCCCCCTCCCCAACCCCCCTTGACAGCAGCAGAGACCCTGGGAATGTCCTGTAGAAACAGTAAAAACGCATGAAGTCGCGTGGCGCCCTATGCGCCCTCTACCAAGTATTTGGGCAGCCCTTGACACTATTTGCGATCAGGGAGCAGGAGGTCAGAGCATGGGGCCTTGAATCTGACGGCTAAAGGGCTTTATCTTTTGCCAGCCAACCTGGATCCTACCTGTAGGTCCCTACACATCTCGGAACCCTAAACCCGAAACCCTAAACTCCTAATTTCAACACCATAAACCCGAAACCCAAAACTCCTAAACCCGAAACTCAAGACTCCTAAACCCAACCACTCCCACTCCCCTTTGCTTCAGGCCGTCCTCGAACTCCCCTCGGTACTTGGTGCCCGCGAGGAGCATTGCCAGGTCGAGCTGGACGATCTTCTTCCTCGGGGCTTCAGACGTGGGCTTTCTAACATTACTACTGTTGTCATAATTGCTCTATGTTATTATTGTTATTATTGTTGTTCCTGCTGTTATCTTAATTATTATGACTGTTGTTATTGTTACTACATTATCACGGTTCTAGATTCTGCATATTCTAGATTCTAGATGCTCTAGCCTGGTCACACGTTTACCACTCATATGGCTCCGTGCTTGAGGGTGAAAGGCTCCGGTCTTTTCAGGTTCGTCACACCAGGATCGAAGTTGAAAGCTCCACGCTCGGGGTTTGATCTCAAGGGCTGTGGAGTCGAGCAACAAGAAAGCCTTGAGAGCCCTAAACCCGCAGGATAGGCCCTCGTCCAGCCTCTGGCTCCAAACCCGACCCGACGTTCTTGAGCCCCAGGCCCGACCAACATCTCCGGCACGTCGGAGGTGGCGATTTTGTAGGCCAGGCCCTCGGCAATGGCCTGAGTCGGGAGCTTCTCAGGGGCTTTTCTCAGGGCCCGGATGGGCTTCGTTAAGGATCCTCTGAGAGCTCGTTAGGCCAGGTACGAGCTTGACGGATCGTGGGAATCGCTGGAATGGAGTTACTGCAATGATACGAGCACCTCTGAACGTTCAGGGCTCGCCGTTCCAGGAATCGAAGATGCTTTGGCTGGAGTTTCGGGGTTTCGGGCAATCTGCACCTTTGCGAACACGGGTTTACCGGCGTAGACAGCTTTCCAACCCCGAGATCCGATGCCGGCACCCAAGGTCCCGTGTAGTCTTTAGAAGCTGCAGCAAACAGGGGTGCCCAAGTGACTCTGGGATGGGGTCTTGGCCAGCACCCTATGATGAAAAAGCGAATGCTACTGGTGCTGGGGCCACCCACCGTTTTACCAACGCCGGGCTCGCCGATGAGTACAGGGTTGTTCTTCTGGCGACGCGCCAGGATCTGCCAAGTGCGATTTCTTCGCTTTGGAGCCCTAGACCCGAGAGTGTTTACAGAGCAAGCTTCCTAGAAAGACGAAGAGCAAATTGGCTTTGCGCTGCCGGGATGAGGGCTTTCAAAACACCTGAAAGCTTGCATCCACGACGCCACTCAGTGCTTTTCTTTGCAACCAATCGCGCAATGTCACTGAACGGACCCATTTTCACTGTTCAGAGGCCTCAGACACGGTTGTAGATACCTTTACCCCAAATGCAACAGAAACCTCAATCGATACGGCAGCTTAACGGGCAAAAGCTTTCATGAGGTGGAGCATTTGACGCATGGATTATGGATTAAGACGGTTCCTTCGGACCGTAGACTTGCGATATGAAGGCGCGCACAAGCGGCTCTAAGACGGATGAGTACCATTCGCGCAGGAGCGGGCTCCTTTGCCGGGTTTGGCCACCCAAAGGCACTGAATCACAAGAAGCGGCCTGTACAGTTCGTTCGATCTCCGCCTCGCGGCCCACGAGCCTTAGCTGCCGTGCGAAGCACTCCGCTAAGCCCGAATGCACCTCCAACGCATGTTTTGCAAGGTTCCTCGTTCCGCTGCATACGGTTGCCGTGACATTCGATCCAACGAGCTTGCGGAGAAAGCACTGAGCGATTGTAGCGAGATTCGGATTAAGCTCGGCTGCGTATACCACCGAGTGACCCAAACATCCATATTCTCCCCCCAACAAAACAGACGTAAGAAATGCAAGAGACCCCTGGAGGGAAAGGGCACACCTCAATGCTTGTCTTGGCGCACATGCCTTTTAGCCCCACCATTCGCTGACCAATCATCTCGATTCAATGTGTGCCAAGACAAGGTCTGATTTCAAGATGCAATCCAAGTACTTGGTCCGAAGTTGAATGAAGCTTCTCTTAGCGTCCAAAAAACCTGAGACCATTTGCAAAACAAGTTGCTTCTTAAACCTGTATGAAATATTGAGGTATGATTCGAATGCTCAGCCAAATAAGATTGATTTATCGCGCAGCTGAGCGGCCGATATGAAAACAAAGCGGACAACTACTTTGCTTCGCGATTTCGCCGCAACATGAAGACGAAGGACTCCATCCTCACGTGTTAAGACGGCCTGGTTTCGGTTCCGAACTGGACCCCATAGTTTACACGACGTCTGTGTGATGGAGCTCCACCAAGTGGCGGATCCATCATTCCTTCCGCAGCGGCCTGCACGGTGCTTTCGGGGTGCAGCTGGTGTGACAACAAGTGGGATGGGGGGATGTCGACTTCAGGGTCAATCATATCTGGTTGTATGTTGGGAGATGTTGGGAGCATCTGTCTGCATCACAGTACGACTTTAAAACCGCAGCAAGAAGCTCAAACCTCGGAGCACAAGCCCGCTTCTGAATCGCCAAGGAGGAAGCAGGTCGCAGGCTCCATGGTACAGGCAAGTCTGCTTAACGCTAACAAGTATCATCGAGGGGTCACGAATCTCTTGAGCGACTTGCCGAGAAACCGAAAACCAACGACGGAGATGTGCAGAAGGCACGAACTTCTACCATGCTGAGCCTGCCTTGGTCAGGTCACGGCCGAACTCTTCCAGAGTCTGGTTCTTTCCACCTGGTAGAGCCCCCCTTCTCATCACCATGCGAGAAGCTTGGATCCCTAGTAGTAGAAATCTCAAGTCCGGCCTTCCCACTTGACTGACCCAGTATCAGGAGAAATGACTGCTACACACTCACGCAAGCTCCAAAGAAACAAGGGGAGAGAGATACAGTGTCAAGTGTAGGCCTGCACCGCTCTTCATCTGTGCCGCAGGCTCCTTCTCGTCCTGACGGTTGATGGGTGTTCGTGTAAAAGTTTAAACCTAGATCCCAAAACCTCACCAGCCCGACCTAAGCTTCAAGCTCGCCGCCGTAGCCCTGAGAAACCAAACACTTGCAAACTGAGCCCAACAGCCGAGGAGCTCTACGGGTCAAGGGTCAAGGCCGAAAGCATCAAGGGAGGCTCAGATCTGTTAAGTTGGGGCTCCCCTTGTAAACCTAGGGATTCCAGGTGGCAGAGCTCCAAACCCCCAAACCGAAATCTGCAACTAAAGCCCCATCCCGAAGATGGCGGAGCTCGTAGGGTCCGGATTCGAAAGGGATCTCGAGGAGTCGCTGGAGTTGGGTTGTTGGACACTTTCCCAGTCAGCTCACCTCTGCTACTGTGAAAGAAGGCTGGCGCTTCCAAGGAAGGAAAGGGGCCCCCCGCTTCCTCCGCATAGCAGCACTTACAAGCTGTACCTTCGCATCGTACGTTGGTCAGGTCAACACCTAGAACGCACCGTGGGGGAGCCCCCTCAACCGCTAGAAACTCAACGAGCTCAAAGGACCAGCAGGCTCTGAACTCCAAGCTCCAAGACTCTGAGCCGCCCGAGAAGGACCTTTAGGGTCCAGAAGTTGCTTGGGCGAATGGAAGGAAGTCCTTGTCTTGCAACTCCTTGACGATTTCTTCTGGGATCTTCTCCCTGGAGGCACACTTCTCTAGCAGACTCTACACTTGAAGTGCAAAGCACCGGGAAGCAGAAAGGGACGTGAATTCAGAGTTAATGAGACGGACTTCGGATGTCACGGCCACGTAGTGTAGAGGACCGTGGTGGAGCCCCCGGGCGATAGATGGAAACACACCTGCATGGCCATCGACAAGTCGACCAAGACAACGATACAACCCCCCAGCTGCAAATCGACGGACACGAGTACCCAACAGCATCGACAACCACCACAAATGCTGCAACTGAGAACATCATCATGGCTATT